GCCTTTGAGGTATAATGCTTTACATTCTGATATTGGTAGTTCCAATTATCTATCAACACTGATGGAATTCATTTCTGCTCATCACTAAGTTTCTCTCATTTAATGCATTATCCACCACGATATCAGGATCTTTTCTGACCCAGTCAACTCTAGCTCAGACTGCATGTTAAAGTAATTTTGCTTCAGTGTGCATCACCTTCCACAATGGTACATGTCACTGTTTCCCTTACTTCTACACAGTGGCGGGATTCAAATATGTAAACAACCGGTTCTCTGTGTGGATGCCGCTTCCGGAAATCCATTCTGAGCCTGACCAACAAAAAATTAGCTACCAGTTCTGCCGAAGTGGTACGAACTGGCTGAATCCCACCACTGCTTCTACACCATGTACGTCTTGCACAAATCTCTCCATGTCACCTATCATTAATTCCTGGTCTGTATTTCTTTTGCTCAGTACCACAAGGAATTCTCTTAAATGTAGCCCTATAAGAAAACTAAAAATATTGCCCCTTTCTCAAATGTGTGTACTGAGTTCGTGTGAGGATAATAGAACCCACCACTCTGATTACCTCTGGTCTAGAAAGCAGTAGCACAGTCTCCTGCATTCAGTTACTTCGGTAATCTGGTAACTGTCACCCACAGTGATTCTGAAGTGGAACCTATCACTTTTTGAAGTTTCTAGTTTAACACAAACCTCTCTTTGATACAGAGAACAGCTCTCTTCCTTCTGCCTAGTAGGTCTGTTTGATTTATACCCAGATATAGCTTATTTGGGGGTTCCCTTGATTCCAATAGGTTTTTTTTTTGTTATTTCTATGTTTTTATTGGACAATAATCATGTCCAGCTGTTCACCTTGAGATGCCTTACATTAATGTAAGAGGGAAATTAGATGTGCTCTGTGTGTCTGGGGGTCATAAACAATTAAATCTTGGACTGTTAGACTAGCTAACATTTCCACGTGCACATTCATTCATTCCTTAATCCTACTTATCCCAAATTTGACCAGAAATATTTTCATTTGGATGCCCCCAGGATGATTCACTTTGAATCACCTCTTGGCTTCTCTCCATAGGTTTAAGTTAATGCTCTCTATGTTATTTATATTGATCAATGGTCTGGCTTTATTTTGGATTAAGAGATGCTTTCCTTGCTTGTGCACAATTGGATTGTCCCAAAACATTTCCTTTAATACTTAGCCAGCCCAAATCCTAACTCTTGGAATCTTGTCCTTGCAGCAGAGCTATTCAGTTTTCCACTTGAGATAATACCTAGCATTTCCAAGGAAGTCATCTTGGAAATTCTGAAATTTAATTTTATTTAGCATTTTGAATTTAACATCAGCATGACCATGATTAGTGTATTCTTCTTAATCAATTATAGTTTATGCCCACATTCCATAGTTTGTATGTCACACATAAAAAAAAACAATATTGAAATATTGATTCTGTGACTTTAAAAACTTCAAGTCAGAGGTTATTTCATATCACTATTACTGATGTTTGCCATTAGTAATAAAGTGGCCACAGCCTTTCTGAGATCATCACCAAATAACCTATTACTACCCTTCAAAAAATTGGAAGGCTAAATTACATTTAGACCCTGCCTAATGTTGTTTGTAAGGAACATTTCCTTCTTCCCGTGTGTGATGGATTCCTTTCCAAGACTGTCATCTTCCATAAAACATAAGTATTGCCATCTTGGGAGTGGGATGTCTCTACTACAATCCTGAAGGTCCCAGACATGACACTTTTGCACCTCTGTTAGCCTTTGGCTTTAGATGAACAAACATGTTGTTCCTATGGCTAAGAGGTTTCATCAACTAGGTCTCCTAAAACTTGCATCTTCTGCAAGCTTTTATGTCCCTGGCTGTTTTCCTCAGCCATTGCTGCAGCCAATATAGATTAGGGTTTAAAAAACAGGAATGTGGTTTAACTACTGGGTTGTGTTGTGGTGAAAGCAAACACAATCAAAGTATGCACAGTTTATTGAAGTTTTGTTTGCATCCATGCCACAGGCATCTTGTTTGGTACTGGGAAACAATCATCTGAGTTATCTCTCAAACACAGCCTATAATGATTATTTTCATTAATTTTATTGTTTGCGGCTTTGGACTCTTGTCAGCATTTTAGTCTGAAGGAAAATACTCTTGCAAATAAATGCTTTTATTCAGATAGCCAGTTTCCCCATCACCATCTGCTCTGAACAGAAATCAGAGAAATAACTTCTCTTGCTGCAGTTTTAGTAGTTTCTTTGTGTATGTGTTGGATTGGACTGGAGATTTTTCCATCTAAACAAGCTTTAGACAGTTTCCAGAAATGCTAGCATGTAGCCATACTGTCTCCTGAAATGCTCTGTTCTTTCCCTTACAACTCCTAACAAATTGCCTGCATATCGGAAGGAATGAGCTTGTAAGTCCAAATCACTGTATGAGAAGAATGGTAAGGCCTTGCCAGAGCAAAGACCCTCCCGTTCATGAAGACTTTAAATCTCAGGCAGCAGATTCTGAGAGTCTGTGATAATAAAATGTTTCACTCAAGAGTTGGGAGTTTACCCCTCAATGGATGGCATAAGATGCCGTTGAGGCTCTTTCAAAAAATCTTTTGAGTTCTTGACTTATTTGTCACATACTGTACAAGTTCATTCTTCTAGTAATGTTTGGCTTGAAAATGTAGTGGAAAAAAGGAAAAAAGAACAAGTAGAAAAATATGAAATAAGTAGCATAGGCATTATATATGTGTGTGTGTGGGTGTATTGTACCTATATGTATATGTATGTGTGTGTGTATATATGTATGTGTGTGTCTTAAGTGTTTTTTATGATGCACCCGGTCAGGAAGAAGAAATCTGGCTGATGAGAACTAAGGAGCTTGAAATAGCTATACCAGCTTCCCTTTAACTCTTTGTTAGCAATCCAAATTTAACACACATATATATGTATATGTATATTGTACCTTGAGACCAAAATGATTTAAGTATCTGTACATAGGGAGTTTTTATACAAACATACAGACACACTCATACAAAATACACATACATTGAGACACCTATTTGTACTTGTGATATAACTGCAAATATGATGGATTTAGGACCACAACTTGAAGTCCACTGTCAAGCATGGTGACAATGACTTAGAGTCACTCACTGTCTCTCCCTACCCATGTGGTAGTGGTTGTAGGAGAAATTGGAGAAGGGACTGCTTTGGGACAGTTTAAATTCCTGGAGGAAAGCAGGATATAAATCTAACAAAGCTCAGCAGGATATCAGTAGAATGCTCTTCATTTTTGCTCTCCAATTTTCTAAGAGTCTAAAGTATATTTGTTTGGAAACATTCTAGATTCTTCTTCAACTTCCATATGAAGACATAGCCAATTATTACAGTGTTACTTGTTTAAACTATGGAAATTACGTCTTGCCGAATGTATCTACAGTTTTCAACAAGCAATTTCTGGGTAGCTGCTATCTTTCTATTCAGGCTAAAAAACAGATCATACCAAACCAATCTTATTTCATTCTTTGATAAAGTGACCAAATTAGTAGACCAGTGCAATGCTGTGGACATAGTATACTTAGATTTCAGTAAGGCATTCGACAAAGTAGACCACAATCTACTGCTTGGTAAGCTAAAAAAGGTGGAATAGGCAACATCACAACCAGATGGATTTGTAGTTGGCTGACAAACTGTACACAACGAGTAGTCTTCAATAGTACTACATCCACATGGAGAGAAGTAAGCTGTGGGATACCACAAGGCTCTGTGTTAGGCCCAGTACTCTTCAATATCTTCATCAATGACTTAGATGAAGGAATAGAAGGGGAACTCATCAAATTTGCAGATGACACTAAACTGGCAGGAGTATCCAACACCCCAGAAAAAAAGCTCAGGATTCAAAAAGATTTTGACAAACTGGAACAATGGGCCCTATCCAACAAAATGAGTTTTTTAAAAAAATATATTTTGAGTTTATATGAATAAGGAAAAAATAGGAACAATACGGGTACAAAATGAGTTTTAATGTGGAGAAAAGCAAAGTTTTATATTTAGGCAGGAAAAATCAAAGATATAAATACAGATTAAGTGAGACCTGGATCAAAAACAGCAACTGTGAGAGGGACCTTGGAGTCCTAGTGGACAATCAATTGACTATGAGCTAGCAATGTGCAGCAGTAGCCAAAAAAGCTAATACAATCCTGGGTTGTATAAACAGAGGCATAGAAACAAGATCATGTGAAGTATTAGTACCACTTTATAAAACCTTAGTGAGACCACACCTGGAATACTGCAACCAATTTTTGTCTCCATACTACAAAAAAGATGTTGAGACTTTGGAAAAAGTTCAAAGAAGAGCAACTAAGATGATCCAAGGCCTGGAGACTAAAACATATGAAGAATGGCTGCAGGACTTGGGTTTGGCTAGTCTAAAGAAAAGAAGAAATAGAGTTGACATGATAGCAATATTCCAGTATTTGTGAGGCTGCCACAAAGAAGAGGGGATCAAATTATTCTCCAAAGCACCAGAGGGCAGGACAAGAAACAATGGTTGGAAACTGACCAAAGATAGAAGCAATCTGGAATTAAGAAAAAAGTTTCTAACAGTGAGGACAATTAACCAGTGGAACAGCTTGCCTTCAGAAATCGTGGGCGCTCCATCAGTGGAGGTTTTTAAGAAGAGACTGGACAGTCACTTATATGAGATGGTATAGGTTCTCCTGCTTGAGCGGGGGGCTGGACTAGAAGACCTCCAAGATCTCTTCCAGCTCTTATTCTATTCTATTTTGTTCTGTTCTGTTCTATTCTATTAATTCTAAGACTATTAATTTTATAGTAACATAGAGCAGCTACAGTATCTATTAGGTTTTTTGGTGCCTAATAGGATTTCCTTGATGATATTTTCTGATAATTTATATTTTGCATAGTAACTGGATGGTTGTATATTGAACTTGTCCTACAACAGTCTTGTATTTTGCAAGGATTATTGACTTGATGAATTAATGTATTGCAGACTTAAAGAGGCTGAAGAAGTATGTAGACAGAAAAAAGGAAAATCACTTTACAATATAAAACAAAAGCATGATTCTGGAATTGTAAGTATAATTATTCTTACTATCTATAATTAAATGTTAAATGTTAAACCAAGATGTAGAAAATGAATGCAAAAATAAAATAAAAATAAGCAGATCGCTAGATTTAGGCAATAGTGATGGTGATGGCAGTAGACTAAGCACCAAGTAGCTTGTTGTAGTCATTTAACCATAATGCAAGATAAATGGTTTGTTTTAAGCATCTGGAGATTATATCTTGGGAAAACTCAACTTCATATCTAACTAGTCTTATTTAATTGTATTTTGATCTTTGAGTTATAGAAAAATTGTTTCCCCCTGGTTGTTTATCTTGTTTTGGGCTATTAACGGTAAACCTTACTCTGTGACATTTCCCTGGTAACTACTTTTTTAACTATACATTGTCAAATACACATTCACTAAGGATGTGGGTCATAACCACTTCGATGTGCAGGGCTTTTTTAATGTTTTCCATTGGGAGATAAATGTTTGAATGTGTTTCATGCATGCATAGAAGACTTTTGATCCTATAAGGTAGCACAGTTATTTTTCAGGAGGCAGAGTGGGGTTAATATTGTACGTATCAAAGTTACTGAACATATGCAGGACTGTGAAAATAATGGGATAACCTTTGGATGATATCACAGGTGTTTTTCAGTGTTTATGAATATGCTATGAAATACTGACTATCTTCTTGCTCACTCTGTTCTGTGTCCTTCATTTTCAGAAAGCAAAGATAAGTATGAAAATATGAGAGAAGAAAGACTTATGTCTTTGTATCCAGACTCAATAAATTGATCATGCCTTGGGAGGTAGGGGAAAGGAAATATTACCGTTCAGCCCATTTGTTTTGTTGATTTTCTTGCATTTTGTTTCCTGTTTACACTGACTACTATGAACATTCACTGATAAACAGATTTGCACGATGGATACCCAGTAATGGAAGCCATTTGATATCTCTCTCTTACAGGCACCCCATATGCTACATTCTTTTCCATCCAAACATTATTTTGCAATTTATACGGTATAATATTAATAAAGACTAAAGTAGTCTGTATAAGCAGCAGTATTTCAGTATGTCCCTAGACATACTGAAAACTTTATAAACATCTAACTTCATATAGATGTTATACTTCCATTCCTGCAGGAATTTTTTCCCCCAAAGCAAATACATTGCATTTAGATTAGAGAGAACGTTACTTCTCAAGAACTCTTTGTATCCATTTCATATGGACCTTGTAAGTGTACTCTGAATTGGTAAAAGTGTTTCTTTTACACTCTAAGCCATGGTCTCCAAAGTTACTTCATTGCCTCCTGACAAAATATGTCATAAATATGACATTCAATCCCAGCTATTATTATAATTGACAAAGTTGATCATGATTTGCTGATATTAATGAATGGAACGAAAACAAAAGGGGGAAAACCCAATTACAGTTAAGCACAGGACTCACTTGGTAGATACCAAACAATCTCGCGTATTTCAATATTATATTCCTTGAAGAAACTGTTTGCAGAGTGACAGGAAACTTGTAGACTTTCTATCAAACTCTTGAGTTTAAAAAAAAAAAATAGTAAAGATCTTTCCCTTTTCTTATTCAAAATTATGAAGGATTATCAAGAGCCTTGGTTTTTCTGGTGATAAAGCAAAGATTATTACTTCTGTTTGATCTCACATTTTATTAAGTACTTGTATTACAAAAAGTACAGCAGATGCAATTGTTTTGCAATCCTTCTGCCTCAACTGCTAAAAACAATTTAATGATTGGGCAGATCTAGTTTACCACATTTTCTCCACACTTTCTAAGAGCAACTTTTTAAAAGATTAAAAAAGCCAAAAGTAGGGAAACAATGTATATATCTCAATGCCTCTTAGCATAGAAGGTGCTAGAGAGATGCAATTTCTAAGTTTTGAAATATTTATTTTTCTTGATGTAACCCACTATATGATACCTGGTTGTCCAGAGATTAATATGTGATTCCAGGAATCATAAGGGCTGCATAAAATATGACCTCAGGAATTGAATTTTTAAAATACCAGTCACTAAAAAATATATTTTTTCCTCCACTGGGGAATGATTTCCTGTTACATAATCAGCTTGAAACTCTATCATCTTTTAGGATAGCCCCAAAACTGCATTATATGATCCAATAGCATCAGGAATAAGATTATTTCTTTGGGAAAGGGAAAAAGAGAAGATTGTTACAAAAAGACCTATCAAAAGCAATTAAAGAAGTAAAGCATATTTTAATAGCACTGATTAAAACTCATGTTTGTATTTATGTAATTTATAGTCTTTTGCTGTTTCTGCATTCTTTTTTCATTTAAATGCATTTAAAAACATTGAAGCATGTTTCTGTTTTGTAGATATCCTGTCCCCTTCAGTATCTACTGTGTGTATATTGCCATTCTAAACTGAATAATGCTACACTTAACAAAGATCGCTATGTGCAATATTGTATTTAGTGTTTCTATTCCAATTTTTTTTAGAATGTTAATTTATATGAAAAATAAAAGAAATAATAAGATCAGTGTTGTATTGTGCATATAGTACTTCCGTTTTTGTGGCTTTGAGATGACTAACAATTACTCGATTGCAAAAAATGTATTTTTTATTTTAAAAAAATTAAAACTTGCTCTTTTGAGAAATGTACAATATTATCTAAAACAGCACATAAAGTCAACATCAAGGGAAGAACCAGAAAAGAGATATATACAAAGCTGAGGCATGCTTTCTGGCTTAATTTACCATATTGTTCTCAACCTATTCAGACCTAAATCAAGGGAAGTTCTTCTAGTAATAACAATAACACTTAGACTTATAGACCACTTTACAACACTCTTTTCAGTTTAGTGTAGAAGCATTATTTGCAAATTGCCCCAATAATCTGGGTCCTCATTTTACCAAGCTCAGGAAGTTGGAAAGCCGAGTCAACCTTGAGCCCTGTCAGGATTGAACACCAGGCTGTGGGCAGAGTTTGCCTGCAATACTGTACTTTAACCACTGCACCTCTAGGTCTCTTCTTATTCTAGATTACTCAGACCATACCTCATTTCTCTCAGCCATACCCCATTCAGGAAATGCTTCCTGCTCTGGATTATTGAAACCTACTTAATCCCATTTCCTAGATCAGGGATAGGCAACCTTGGCTCTTTTATGACTTGTGGACTTCAACTCCCAGAATTCCTGAGCCAGCATGGCTGGCTCAGGAATTCTGGGAGTTGAAATCCACGAGTCATAAAAGAGCCAAGGTTGCCTACCCCTGTCCTAGACTGAAACTGGTGTAAGAAGTTGGTGTTAGCAGAATGCCTGGAGCATATTGTCATTGTTGGTTTCGGACAGATGTGAAAATTGTGTCCATTTTGGTTTTAGTCCCAACCATTAATGAAATAGGGATGGCAGTAGGATTTAACTAAGATACTGTGGACCTTACCAGAAAAAAGGAATCCCATTTCTAACCTCTAAACAAGCATTACAGTGCAAAATAGCATCCTTTTCTGCTTTTGTTGATTGGTTGCAAGTAATCGGTGTAACATGGCTTATTTTTAATAAGTGCCATCTTATGACATTCATCTGTCCTTTCTTCAAACGAATGCAATTCATGCTTTGGTTTTGTTAGTTGGCTTCTACTGACTTTAAAGGCTAACTACATTATATGGCTTTCTTATCTCACCAAAGCTACGTATGGTGCCAGGAAAAGAAGCCTTAGAACAATAGGCTGGGGGTAAGAATTAGAGGTTATTATCCCAAAGGTGCTTCTCTTCCAAGAAGCTTCTTCAATTCTGACTGTCAGAACTGAAAAACTTCCTTGGATGAGAAGTGAAACGTCTTCAAGCAAAACAAAGGAAGTCCAGTTGCCTTTTGAAAAAGCACCTTTGGGACAACCATGACTTGGATGACTGAGAATTTTCATAGACAATTAGAGATGATGTTTTTATTGTCACTAGTTTGGGATCTGTAACTTGCAGTATATTCCTATTTGCAAATAACTCTTAGTCTCCAGTTCTTATTCCAAATCATTACTGTCTACTGAAAATTCCAAAATGCGGTTATTGTAAGAATATCTTAACAGCACAAGAGTTGTCAATTGAAAGCCTACCCAAGACAGCAAGCTGGGTTATCTCTATATTGAGTATTATCTGTGAACATGACAATTTATAGCTGACGGATTAATCTATCTACCACCAGATGGCAGACTAATGTCTTAAAAGTATTAGAAGCTTTGAATTAGCAAGAAAAATGGTTTATCTATCTCTAAGCTTTATATCATACCGAGTAGCATTACAGCCAGTAGCTCAGACTTCGTCATCTTCCTACATTAATTTACGTGGTTCCCATCATTCCAATTCCAAAGGCCGGGTCATTTGGGTCCATAGGAGCTATTGTAACACAACTGGAAAAGATGCTGGGTTGAAGAAAGTAGCAATAGTTCCTTAATAATTCGATGCAAGACTTTTTGTTATAAAGTCGAAAGAAGAATACCATGCAACAATACCATAATACGGGGGTTTGTAGTGGTTTGGGAAGAACATAAAAGTGGTTGTGATTCAGCTTTAACCAAACTAATTTAATTTAATCAATGAGCTCAAGTTATGCTTAGGAATGTATCCAGGAATGCCAGTCTAGCTCTTATAGGCCAGACTGAGTGAAGCACTCCCAACACTAGGCATAGATTGGTGTTTATAACCCTGCTTGCTGCCTTGTCTATAGTCATTGACAATAACCCATTAGAACTCAGGAATCAGGCTAATCCATTTCCTTACTGGACAAGATTCAGCACCTCTGCCAAGCAAAGATGGAACAGCCAAAAGGAAAAAGCTGTTGACATCAGGACTGGCTGTTGCCTAAATTTGGATGATGACTCTGGTTATAACTAAGGTGAATTGCTTTGGTTTTAGTGGATCACTAGAACTAAAATTGGATCCAGTTCAGTGCAATTTTTATGGAAGAAAAACTTCATGTTAAGTGTCTCTACTTCATGTAAGAGTACCTGTTTGGAGCTGAACATTAGTGATTTCCTGAATTAGACCACCACTCTGTTATGAATTAGACCACCACTCTGTTATGTTATGGATATTGATAGAACATCCTTGTTCATATTTGGGGGGGACATGTTTAATTTTGATCCCAAAACAGAAGTCTGTTCCAATGGTTACCTATTTATTGTTCCATGTTATTTTTTGGGTAATACCGCTTTGACACTTAGTCCTACACCTTTCACTAAAAGAATATAGAAAATTGCAATGAGGAACATAGTTGAGATGTTAGAAAGAAAATTCAGTAGCTCAATTTTAGTACAGTTGTAATGAAAGGTTTCCTTCATTTATTTCCCTTAAAATAATACTTTCATATGACAACAGCTTCAACTGCTTATCAAGAGTACAATAATGTTAACTAGGTGTTACATTAATGTTATGTTGAAGTTTGTGTACTTACAACTATTCCTTTGAAGCAGAATAATCATGATACCCTTAAATTCACTTTTATCCATTCCAAAACATCAATCAATAAACCCAGTTTATTTAAAAATTGAGGTTTTATATATATTATACATATACATACATTGCATTGACAAGGGACCTTTAATTTCTGATATGCTGCTCAACTACAACCATATCCTTGGGGTTGATGACATGCAATAAAACTGGAGAGTTAAAAGTTCTCTCTCTATAACAGAAAATTGGAAATTAATGTGTGTCTATTACATTCACAGTTTCTATACATACAGTATAATATCAGAGTGATAGTTTTCACTGGTTATTTTCAGCTACACGTATACTGCTTTTATCTGAAATATTCTATAATGGCTCTATGATATTTTAATTATTTCATATTTAAATTAAGTGGATGAAGAAAATTCCCTAACAAAGGTTAAACGTAAGCTCTACGAATATATATATGAAACAAATATACAAGAATTCCATATATCTCTAGAGTAGCTTTTTTCTATAATTTAACAATAATACGCCTAAAAATAATTGTTATATTTATAACATTTATTCCACTTCATTTTCATTTATAAAACAAAATTTAAATAGTATGAACTATTACAACATTAACTCAACTCTTATAAAACCACCCAAAAAGCATTCCCCTATCATAGCAGGCCTGGTTTGTTTGTAACAGACTGATAAAAAGATCCCACTAAATAATCATCCTACATTATTGCTTGAACAATTGTTTACCATATCCTAACAATAAGAACCAAATGTTCTTTTTCTCCAAGAAGCAGCTTTCTTGGGCAGCAAGCCTGTACATAAAAATACAGCTATCTTAACTAGATCTTCCCTATTATCTTTCATAGCAATCATAAGTTATGATCATTAAACCACCAAAGCAAGCCCCATTCTTCTTTACTGTACTTTTCTAAGCATGATATTGTTCTTGTGTAACATCCAGGGATTGAATTCTAAGGGCTACATACCTACCCAATCCCCTCTTCCTGCGCCAAGCCCCATAACTGGAAGAAGCCTAATGGAGATCAACCACTCAAAACCTCTCAGAATAACCTGTCCAGCATAAAAAGAGAACTATGCCATGAACCCTTGAGGTGACATCAACTTGCAGCTTTGAGAAAATAATTGTTCGAGCCTTTCTGATCACGTCAGGAGGAAACTAGTAGCAAAAAACGTATTTGAACATTTGAATACTTGGGCTATACCTATCACAAATGCAAACTTCAAGCCATGCAATGGGGGTCACCATCAGAGTTACCCAGAAATTTTCAAAGGAATCTAAATGGTAACTCCTGGAACATGCAGCCTTGCATTAATTGGGTTTATCAAGTCCTTTCTTACATTTTATCCTACGTAGATGCAATTTTGCATACAGAAAACAGGAGTTAATTTAAAGAAAAAATATATTATGCTGCTTGCTTTTTGCTACGGTACTTCAATAGATCAAACACAATATTGCTCTCCTTCACAAATGTAGTCATTAACATAGATGGAGATAAATGCACAAAAGTGAGTCTAGGGAAGGAAATTTAACACTAGTAAAATCCTGTGGGGAGGGATAATCTGCTCTCCTATTTAAGATTTATCTCAACCCTTCAAACATTGAGTCATCTCACAAATTATACATGCTTATGTCTATATTAAAAAGTTTAACAATTATTTGCAATAATATGACAAATGAGACATTGCTGTAGCATTCTGTACTTGAGACAATTTAGTTGAAAATGGATATAAATCCACTTCAGCCTCTTCATTGGAAAGTGCAAGCTGATATATCCACAGACGATAAGGCTGCTTAAAAGGCACACAAGTCTTATCAATCAAGAGAGATCACTGCTTCCTTTTGCTGTTCCTAGCTGTATCCATTCCACGGAAGACAGGATTAAGTAGTCAGAAATAAGCCAAAACGTTAACCGAGACTGAGATAGGAAAATGACAAATACTTCAATTCAGCCATTATTCATCCAAAAGCGTGAAGTGAAAGCCAAAACAATTTCCACACAGTGGAAGGAAGAGTTAATTACTGAATTTATATCACTGGCCACCAAAATGTTCACTTTTACATCAGACAATGATTTCTCACTTAGTGGCAAGCCCAGTGGTCAAAGAGCTGTTTGGGTAATAAGGATAGCATGTTCTGATCAGCTGATAGCAGCCTTTATTTCCAGTAGGCAAACAAAGAAAAGGATGCTGCTCTAGGAATGTTCCAAAATTAATCAAGGAAGAAACAGTCAACCAGTTTTGTGTCTGAAGAAAAGGTTTAAGCAGAGTCAGCTGCCAAGTCTCACTTTTATTGTTTGCCTGTACTGCTCAGGTTCACCGACATACATCGGCATTGCTTGACTTTCTGGATCTTCTTAAGTCGAAAAGGTGGGTCCAGTCCAGGGCACTCTAGCTCCACTGTGAAGGAGGTGACCTTCTGAGGCTTGCAAAAGGCACATGATTGGAAAGACTCCTCCTCTTTTTTAACATGGCGGGGAATATAGAAGGAGTTGCACTGGCCATAGCAGAAGCGGTTTATAATTGTGCGGCTAAGGCAGCCCTCCTCACTGACCGTCTGCCGTAAGGGTTGGGTTTTGCACCAGTCGCTTTTCAGATATTTCCTCTCTGTAACCACCAAGGCCTCCTGGCTGGAAGCCAGCACTTCTTTGTTCAGATGTGGCCGCCGGTCAGAGTTATTACTTCTGCTGCCTTTGTAAGGGGAAGGGATGGCTCCTGCAGGGCGGTTTTTCCTGGGTTCTATCACTTGAACCAGAGTGGACATGAGAAACAATGTTAAAGCAAGTTTCCAGATCATCCTGCAACAAGATACCAAAACAAGGATAGATATTATCCCTCTAGAAAACAGTCAAGACATCATTTCAAAATGTATCATTCTAAGCATTCTAATTCTGTGAGTCTTATTCTGCACTTTCAACGAGTTTTTAGGGAGAGCTGGGAAATAATTCTGAAATAAATAAAAATTGAAAATGGAAGGACATAATTGTGTATCTTCAGGACTTTTTTTTTTTTTTTAAAGAAAAAACCGACTTGACTTCATCAACAGCATTACTAATATATCTTTAGGGGGACTCAAGAATCTGTCTGCTTTAGAGGACTCTTGCTTCAATCCAGACATCACCCAAAAATTATTTTTATTTTACTTATTAAATTTATTGACTTCCCATCTTACCACAGAATAACTCTTAGTAGTCCACTTCAGTTCTGGAATTAAAATTTTGAAAATATCCACTGCACACTCATAATTACAATGGATCATATACCTGGCTGCATCATTACTTTCCAGTTAAACCAACTTGTGACAAATGTTCTCATAAAATATCACAAATATAAGAAAGTACCGTTATAATGTATAGTTGCCCTATAAGAGATTGTAATCAGCAAGGCTCCACCCCTTTCCAAACAGAGGGGTTAGACAGGGCTAAGTATGACTAATAGTAAATGAAGGAATGGGAGGGTAGAGGAATGATTAGTGCCTGTGAAGTTGCTTACAAACTGATCAAATGTTTTTAAAAATGTAAAGATGCCACAGGTTCATATCCATGCTCTTGGCAACATTACAAAAGAGGTTTTTTAATATTTCTCGATCTCTCATGATTTCTCTTCTAAGTATTAAGTTGGCCCACATAAAGTCAATCATCTGCTAAGATGTTAAAATGCAGTCAGTATAATTTCTTTTTATTCTGGAGGCAAGCAATAGGAATGGAATGGAATGGAATGGAATGGAAGAATAGAATAGAATAGAATAGAATAGAATAGAATAGAATAGAATAGAATAGAATAGAATAGAATAGAATGGGACCTTGGATGTTTTCTAGTCCAGCCCCCTGCTCAAGCAGGAGAACCTATACCAGGGGTAGGCAACCTTGGCTCTTTTATGACTCGTGGACTGTGCTGGCTCAGGAATTCTGGGAGTTGAAGTCCACGAGTCATAAAAGAGCCAAGGTTGCCTACCCCTGACCTATACCATCTCAGACAAGTGACTGTCCAGTCTCTTCTTAAAAACCTCCAGGTTGCTTCTCTCTTTGATCAGTTTTCAACCATTGTTTCTTGTCCTGGCCTCTGGTGCTTTGGAGAATAATTTGACTCCTTCTTCTTTGTGGCAGCCCCTCAAATACTGGAATACTGTTATCATGTCACCCCTATTTCTTCTTTTCTCTGGACTAGCCAAATCCAAGTCCTGCAGCCGTTCTTCATATGTTTTCAATTCCATAAAAATATTTTGGACCAGTGAAGAGGACATGAACACAGAACCCATATGAAACTCTTTAAAATTGCTCATTTTTGTTGTTGTTGTTGGGATTGTCTGTCAATGATAAGGGAAGCTCTGAATCCCATGAAGAGACACAGCTGCTTTAAAGAGCTGCAGAAAATGTTCCTATGTGAGTTTAACTTGGGATGTGAACATTTTGAAGCTGCTTACCTAAGCAGAAAATTGATGCCAAAATCTTGAGCCATTCAAGTTGACCTTCTGGAAGTAGAAGGGAAATATTGTCTTAGTATCCTGCAAAGAAAACAACCATTTAAAAAAGATAGTGAGCACAGCTATTTTACCAACACAATTTTCTGCACAATTTAAACTATTTGTACATTAACTTTGACTTATCCTGAATTATGCTTATTCAATGATCTTAAATCCTGAAGATGTTTATTTCTAACTGTAGTAGAATCAAAATCCAGCAGAAATTGATGAGCTTCTCTTGTAAATAAGTGTGCTCAGGATTGCAGCCAAAATGTAAAATGATTGTCTCCATCAAAAGATTCCAGCCAGTCTTCAGAGGAGTCATAGTGCTCTACTTGACTAACACTCAGTTATTGTGGCCAAAACCATTGGATCTCAACTGGATATGCAGAAGCCAAATTCCTTTCCAATCAGCTAATCACAGCCTTCCCTGGAGATGCAACTGAATCTAGTATTATTCCTTTCCTTCTTTGTTGCCAGACCCAAAAATACACAAACAATGAGTCAGAACTTCATCTGAATCAAAGCTTATTTAATTATTCTAAATTCAAGTGACTGGAAAACAGATATACATCATTGCTTTGGATATTGGGCTTTCCTACTTGGATTCATATGAATCCAAAATCCAATGCCTTTGTACAGATTCCTGTAATGAAATAATCCTTCCCTCCTTTTCTTTCTAGTGACAGAGCAGAATAAAAAAAAGTATTATATTCATTTTTCCCATTCTATATCAGATTCTAAAAATTCACAAAATTTTTGCCTTTTTGTCTATTTCTCCTAGGCATCTTTGTTAAGAGTTTTGCCTAACAAAAAGCTGGGCTACTGCAATTCAGTCAACATAGGACTTCCCCTGAAGACCATTAGGAAGCTTCAGCTGGTATGCCATGAGGCAGCCTGGATAGTTATTCCAAAGTTCCCCCACATAATGCATTTTCTTTGGTAGCTGAACCAACTGCACTACACTCCTCTGGAATCTGTACTGATCCCCAAATTCAAGATGCTGGTTATTTATTTTAAAATTCTATATGGCTCAGGATCCGGATGTCTTTAGGACTGCCCTCTCCAAACTAAAACTATCCATATGATAAGGCTGAAGAGAGAAAGCTGTCCCATCAAGCCTTCTCAATACTAGTGGAACTGTGAACTATTTTGCCCCCACATATCTGGACTACCCCCTTATTGCTGGACTTTAAAATGGCCACAGAGAAACCATTTGAGATGAGAACTAGCTAACCATCCATCCCCTGTTGGCAGGGTGTCATTTGTTTGTGGTATTATACTGGTCAATCTGGTTATACTCTTTTTAATCCCTGTTGGTGAATATCACTCAATGTCTCCAAGCCACTGTGGACAAAAGTGCTGGATCTCAAAAGTAAGTTAGTGATTTATCTTAGGTTGACTTCAAAAGAAAATGATTGGGAGACACCCATAGTTGGCTGAAAGATGAGCAGCTATATAAATGTTTAAAATAAATGCAATAACAAAATATATGTGAAATATATGAATATATTATAAATTTTAATGGTGAAATCAAGTCCTCCTAGAACTTTTGGAAGAAAAATATTAGAAATTCTGGGTAAAACGAAAGAATACAAATCAGGAAAGGACAAGAATTTGCCAATACAGTTTGAAAACAGAATCAATACAATCAATCAATACAATCTTTATGAAAATATGATTCTATCAGAAATTGAAAGAACAAGCACATTGCACACAAGAAATGCAAACAGTGCAAATGCATTTTAATAAACTTATAATTCATAGCAAGGAGAATAAAAATAAAGCAATTATTTTTAATACCAAGTACAGATGCATTCGGATTGTTGGATTATAAGGGCAGATATCTGTACATGAGGTGACATTTCTAACGTTATCTCATGTACAGAGGTTGCCAAGGTAAAGGTTATCAATGCAGTTTTAATACTTTATTGTCTGAGAATTCTTGAACTCCAATGTGAAAGTAATGACTGCTCTAAAACTATCTGATTAGAAAAGGTATCTTGTGAATGAGAAACCATTGAAAAAATCAGTGCAATACGCTGTTCTGATTTTTTTTTTAAAAAAAATATGGAAGAATACTTAGGAAGAAATATTTTTAAAACTACCAATATTGTATTAATATGATAGAAGTGTACAAAATTATGCAGAATGTGGGAAAAGCATCTATTTGTTTTTCCCTCGAAGAACTGGGACCCAGGATCATCCCATGAAGTTGAATGATGAAAAACTCATAATAGATAAAAGAAAGTCAATTTGCTAAGACAAAAATGTAGTGATGCCTCCCACTTGGATAGCTTTAAAAGGATTAGGAGGATTAGATTATCACTGGCTACCAGTCATGATGACTCCAGATTACCTTCAGTATCAGAAGCAGTAGGCCTGTGATTGTCTGTTGCTGGAGAACATAAACGGGAGATTTCTGCTATGTTCACATTCTACCTGCACGTTTTCCACGGGCATCTGGCTGCTGCTAGCTGCAATTGATACACATATCAGACAGGTCTTTGAGTCCGGTCCTACTACTATCATTGCTTTCCTTACATTAATGATCAACAACTGGAAGCAGTAGAGATTGTGCAGAAATTTCACATTCTCACAATTAGCATCAAAGGGGGGGAGTTTAAGTTTATAATAGCCTACAACAGAGGAAAAGTGGCATACCGATGTATAGAAATTAGCAAGCAGAGCCTATGGAAGTATCTCATGGAAACACAATACTATAATGGTCAAGTAGGAAAACTGTATATGTCTTTTTGGCAAGGATTCTTCTCTGTTACCTGCTTGCCAAAAACCAAACTTAGACGATTCTGCATATACAGCAAGCACTCTTCCTTAAAATTTAATAGAAACTACTGTGATTCAATTTTCAGGTTATACACAATACAAAATAATAAGAGCTGGAAGACCTTGGAGATCTTCTATTCCAATCCCCTACACAAGCAGGAGACCCTATACCATTTCAGACAAGTGGCTGACCAGTCTCTTCTTAAAAGCCTCCAGTGATGAAGCACCCACAACCTTTGAAGGCAAGCCTAGATTAATTCTGTTTTGATTTTGTAGAACTGGAGGTTAGAATTTTATGAAGAGTTGGGGATCTTTTAGACTTTGCTTTTACATTAGTTTTGAAAGTGAACAAAGAACAAAATAAATACCCAGGAAGATGCACCAGTAATATCTATCAAGTCTAATGACTCTTTTGATCATTCACACTAAAAAGCAAGACAGTCTTGGAAATTTTAATATTAAAATTTGAGATTCTTGCTCATTCTAACTTTTGCCAGTCTCAGTTTCAGGATTGATGAACATCAGTCTTTTAGAAAGGAACTGACATGAGTGAGATCAATGAACTTGGATCCAGCTTGAGAAGCAGTATTTGCTCCCACACCAACACACCTAATGACTAGACAACATGGGCCTTTGCAGTATAGGGAGAATCACCAACGCCTGACAACCACTGTTCAAATATTAGAAGAGTTAAACAGACCTGGCAGACAGAATTGGCAGGACTGCTTCCTAAAGCGTTACAATTACTAGGTAAGGCTGACAAACATATCTTTATCCTGTTGTTATTCAAAACACAGTATTACACTTCAAGAATACCTCAGGCTTTCCTTTAAGACTCAGTATTGGCAGCTGTCCAAGTTACAGGTCAAAGTCTTCCAATACTCCTTGCCTGAACTGTAAGGATTTAAAACAGTCACACACACAATGTTCAGCCAACACAATAACATTTTAAATGTGGTGAACTGAAGATTAAACAGGTTTTACAATACAGCTTTTTGGCTCCACACAACACCATAGTCCATCATGTCCTTACTTGCTAAAAAAAAAAATCTATTGGCCATAGTATGACATGGATTCTATAATAATTAAAATGCTGCTGAAGAATGTTGCCTTAATATTTATGTAATGTCTAAGTTATGTATTATGTAATATGCTGAAAACTGCCAGAGTTCTGTTGTTTAAATCAATCTTTCCAAATTTGTTAAGACTACAATTCCCACAGCCATCAATTCAAATGACTAGGAATTATGGATGATGTAGTTCCAACAAATTCTGGGAATATCGGCTTCAGAAGACCAAAGTAGAAAATGTTCCCATCTAGCTGAGTTATGAAACAAATGCACCCACTCTTTATTTACTCCATATTTGGGGGGAGGGGCACAGGGGGATGCCTTCTGCTGGTGACTGATCATGCCTTATCCTGGTTCAACCTTATGATAATGGCTTGTATTAACTGTTTCTGTTTCAATCATGGTTTTGATTTAAAACAGCCTTCCCCTGACAGCCTTCCTCAACTGTGCCCATGCTGCTTGGGTATTCTGAGTGCCGTAATCCCAGCATAACTGCCTGATGGAGGAAACTGCATTAGATCAAGAAAACCAGAGTCAACTATTCCAAAGCTGCTGAGCTTCTGTTCTCTCCACAGGCCTCCTGCTAGGACAGTGTATTAATTTAAACGTCATCTGACCTATCTAGAGGCATAAGATCATTTTAATTGCATTCACACATTGCATAAACCATTGTTTATTTAGCTAGGGAGATTTAATAGAATGCACTAAACTAGTGGTGGCGAACCTATGGCACTAGTGCCAGAGGCGGCACTCGAAGCCCTCTCTGTGGGCACGCATGCCGTCGCCCCAGCCCCGCCTCCCCCGTAGCTCCCTCCTCACCAGCAGCCCCCCCCGAGGAGAATCACCCCCGGGTGTGGCCCATGCGGAGCTGCACAGCCAAGCACATGGAGCTGGGCAGATGATGCTGTGGGGTGCAGGCAGAGGGCGTGGCCACCATGGCGCTGCAGGGCCACCTGAGCGATCTGCGGTGTGCCGTGGATGGCCCTGAGGGTGGGTGGGGTGAGGGCGGAGCAGGGCGGGAGTGGGCAGACGGAGCGGGGGCGGGCCGGTTTTTGGGCACTCGGTCTCTAAAAGGTTCGCCATCACTGCACTAAACCATAAATTTATAAAGTCATAATATCTGGCTTCATACCACACACTAAAACAAAATCAAACAAAGTACATTAAGGTTCAGTATAATATGAG